GTACTATGCTTATGGCTTCAGATACTGTTGTCTTCTAGTATGTGGAGACCTCCTCTAGGCTTGAATGACCACTGACCTTGTGGACTTAACCTTCCTCTTTGACCGACATTCCTCTTCATCAACAGCTTCCTGTCTCCTTTTTCCTCTCCTCTTCCTGCCCTTTTAATTGAGGTGTGACATGTACACACTGGAGCACACAGATCTCAAGTAAACAGCTTGATGAATGTTTATACAGATCACGCTTTGAACAACTCCAGCCCTGGGGAAGCTTCTTCCTCTCTGCTCAAGGAAACAGCGCTGTTCTTCTGCCTAAAATACTATTCTATTAAGTAAACATAGAGGTTCATTCCTTAACTCTTTCAAGCTTTTGCTTCAATGTCAACTTCTCAGGGAGATCTGGCCACCGTATTTAAAATTATAGTAACCCTCACCTTCTCCATGTTTTTCCTTGATTTTACTTTTCTCCTCAGACCTTCTATGCACTATATGTTATACCTGCTATGGACTACGTGCTATACCTGTACATACATACACATATACATGCACATATACATGTGTTTGCTTTTCCCCACTTGAATATAAATTCCATGAGGACAGAACTGTGACTGTTTTGATACTTTGGTGTTCTGAACACCTATATGGCTGGCATATAATGAATCTCAGTAATTATTTGAATTAAATGGTTTGGGTATTGAGTGTGTGGTCAGACAACGGTGTACAGCTGCCTAAAATACCAAATGAAGGCGATTCTCTGAAAGTTATCATGTAATACTCCTCCCCACCTTCTGTCGAAGTCTCTTAAATCTCTTCATTGTAACTCAAGATCTAGCAGAGAGAAATGAACACCAGGAATAACTGTCAGAGGGCGTGCAGTTGCTGGCAGCATCTCAGGGAGGAGCAGGGCCCTCTCCCTCAGCGGGGAAGGCCGGAAGCCCACTGCCTGTGGGCTTGAAGCAGTTACTTACGCTCCTGCTGGTGACCTGTGGGGGGAACAGCTGATGTGTCCGTCAGAGCTGAGCAGCTGAGGCACTTAGCTGCTGCTGATTTATACAAGTTCACTGAGTTAGGAGACACAGTATAGGGGGATTGGGTGGGTATTTTTACGGTGCATTAGTAAAGCAACAAACATTAATCCTATATTGCCTGGCTGGAGCCAGTCAAGGAAATAGAGAGAACCATCCATGCTGGGGTTCATGAACAAAATTTTAGGACCTGCTTGACAAAGACTGGTATCCTGGCAACAGAACGCCTGACGAAGCTAACCTATGGGAAGTACGTCTCTCGGAGATCCTTCCCACAGGGAAAACCTAATGGCACGCTTTCATATTCAGTATAACCTGCCACCAAGGTCCCAATGTGCCATGGCCACGGAACAACAGTAAAAAACAGTAATACCAGGTGCAGGGGTACACATGCCTATAATCCCAGCTACTTGGGAGGCTGAGGCAGGAGGACTGCAAATTCAAGCCCAGTCTGGGCAACTTATTTTGAGACCCTGTCTTAAAATCAAAAAGGGCTGGGGACATAGCTCAGTGGTAGAGCACTTGCTCGGCATGCCCAAGGTCCTGGGTTTAAGCCCCGACATTGGAAAACAAAACAAAACAGAAAATGGAAGAGATCAATTGTGCCCAAAATGAATTACAGAAATTATCCATGTCATACCAGGAAAAAATCAGAAAAGGCCATGCACAGATTTTCCAGTGTCTGACAGGGAACAGAGTACAGAGACCATGCAGAATCGGTTGCTATGGAGAGCCTCATCTGAGAATGCTACACAATACGTTACTGCAGGACAAAACGTGAATAACTTGCTGGGGTGGATGATTCTGACTGGGGCCTAGAGCTGACCCACAGTGTCTGGCAGAAAGAGGTGACTGTCAAGAAGACACAAAGAGAAGGAGAGACTGAAAGAGAGGCAGAAGCATAGCTGTCCAGCACTCACGTTGCTGAGGGGCTGCAGGATCACACAGCCCCGAAGATCAGTCTCAGATGGCCGTGCTTATTGGGTTTCCCTGAGATTCCTCTCCCTTACTGCCACACACATTCTTATTATAAACAAAACACTACTGAGGATAATATGTTCAGTCGTTCCATGGAGCCACAAGAGCCTAGCGAAAGCAGGAGAGGAGCTACACAGAAGGGGAGAGAGAAGAGGGCTGGAGATCCCTTAGCTGTATTTTTTTTTTAATTGACAACTCTTATTTCTGAAAGCCTTCCAATCTGGCTCTAAACATGGTGTTCCCATGGCTCTTTTCTTTCCTAGAATAACTCATAACCTTATGGATTTGAAGGGAAATTAGAGCTCACTTAGCACACTAAAAGAGATGTGAGAAAATAGAGAACCATAAAGAGATTTGCTTTTTATTCCATTTCCTTCAGAGATTCCTGTCCCCATCATTTAACTGTGGATGTTCTTGAATAATCCTCCCTTATTTTCCCTCTAGACTCAGAATTTCCGCCTCCAGCTGTATATTGATCCATTCTGAAATTTTAATCCTCAGTGCTGAATTCTTTCCCAGTCTGTAGTATTAGACTTGTGACTATTCATGGAATGTATTTTTGTAAGTTATGCAGAAGTCAACACAGTTAAATTTGTTATTTTTTAAAACAAAGGTTCCTTTTCTTATTTTTTTTTAAATTTCAAAATGTTTAAACCATATAGAAGAGCATAAGGAGCAATACAACAAATATCCACATTCCTATCCTCAAGACTTACTATTTTGCCATATTTGCTTCAGACTTGGGTTGTTTTTTTTTTTGGTTTTTCTCTGGCACGGGGAACCGAACTCAAGACCTTGCGCTTGCCAGACAGGCGCTTTGCCGCTGAGCTAAATCCCCAGCCCTGCTTCAGACTTAATATAGTGGGAGTCCCCTTCCCATCCAATCCGGCCTGTCCTGGAAGGTAGATTCTTCTGAAGTTAGCTCTTCCCAGAAGCAGACCCTGTGGCCAAGGCTGACGAGTGTGCACAACCGATCTGGATGTGCATGGGCACTGCAAGGGACAGCAGAGGCAGCCAGGCCAGGGCACCTGCAGCTGGCTCCCTCCTGCGGGGAAACGCAGGGCAAGTACCTTGGCCACTGAGTGGTGAAGCTGGATATTTATACCCCACACTCATGACTCACTCACGGCTAGGCACTTTCAACATTCTGCGAGTGAGGGCAGGGTAGGGAGGGTCTGGCTGAAAGGACATTTTTTGGTGGTGGTGGTACTGGGGATTGAACCCCGGAAGTTTGCTCTTAGCTACATGCCAAGCCCTTGTTTGTTTTTTGAAACAGGATCTTGCTGGTCTCTGTGCTGCGCGGCAGGTCTCCAACTTGCAAGCCTCCTGCCTTAGCCTCTCAGAGCGTTGGGATTACAGATACGCACCACCATGCCTGGCTGATGGCAGCATTTTAACAAAAATGCTGGCTGCTGGAAATTAGGCTGGTGCGTAAAAATAGTGCCACATTACAAAGGACAAGAGTGAAACACAGAGCATCTTTAACTGTGCATTTCCATCTGTGTGGTGTTTGCATTTATTATGGCAGTTAGATACTGTTAATTTTTGTGATATTATTAATATCATTAGTGATGATGGTTGAAAACACCAGAGTAAGTATAAACCAGTCAAAATGAAAAAGGAAGACTGGGAAAATTACCTCAAAGCGTTGTTTATTTAACTAGCTGCGCCTGATGGAGCTCCCTTAATTGAAAGAAAACATATGACACACACCACAACTTACTTTTGTTTGGCTCCATACCTCATTAGATTCTGACAAAATCTGATTTTCTCCCTCATTTCTTTCATCTCCTACTGTAAGACTGCAGGGTTATTAGGCTTAAACTGTGACTGATACATAAAATTATCAAGTCTTTTTTCATAGGAAGACTATGTACACTCTAAAGTTTCTTGCAATATCATTTTATTTGTAGCAGCAACCCACTGTCCTTTCTATAAAAGCAGAAAGGTGCATATATGTGGAGGGCTGGGGATGGGGAAATGGTGTAGCTAGGACAAACCCCAGCTCCATAATCTGGGCAATCTAAACCATTCTGCACAGCCAGGTATAGTTTGCTGTCTCTGTTCCTTACAGCAAAAAGGACCTCTGATGCCGCAGACTGCAACTACAAAACAGTGTCTCCTATTCCTTTTTAGAGCAACCATGTGGATTTACAGTAATCTCTAAATACTGTTCCTTACAGATCCCAGTATCAGACAGACTTCTCCCTTTAAGGACTAATAGAGAAAATCACACGATACATGAAAAGATCTAGCAGGATCTTTCTAGAGAATCAGAATAGCAGTCACTTATAAAGCAGCCATGGTTAAACAGAAAAAAAATTCATATTGAGATTCAAGGAGATAGCATATTTCACATTTCAAATAAAAGATTATTACAGAATTAGAAAACCTTAAGGATATAGTGAACAGAGGAGGTTTAGATTGCACATCACACCACTGATAAATATGAGTAAAATATGGCTGTGAAAAGAACTTCTGGAAGTCATATACATTTTAAATTTAAAGGTCAGTAATGTTTTCACAAAAAATTCTGTACTGGTTTTCTTTTGTTTTTTTTTTTTTGGTTTTTCTCCGGTACCGGGAACCGAACTCACGACCTTGCGCTTGCCAGGCAGGCGCTTTGCCGCTGAGCTAAATCCCCAGCCCCTGTACTGGTTTTCTATTAGATTTCATTTCCATAAAAAACCAAATCTTATAAAAATAAATAAGAGAACATATTATATGCTAGCACATTTAAACAGCAAATATTATTAGGAATGAAGATCACATAGGATCTGTATTTTTTATTAAAAATGTTTTCATTAATCTATTAGAAACTCTGGATCCTTGTGCTGAGAAACTGTACATCTGCACGAAATATGACATTGGTGTAGAATAGGAGTGAATGGGTTCTTGAAAGACCCGAAGATTCTTGTGGTCAGTCTCTTGGCCCACTACTGGTCCATGAGCACCACGTTAAGAATCTTCTGGGGGGAGAGAAGCATAGAGAGTACTTACATTGTACAGGGGGATAGTCTTCATCACTTTGTACTGTTTAGTGGGATCCATTTTGTACAGGTGACGGTCAGTGACAAAAATTGCTCTGTCTTCCACCTTACTAAATCGATTCACCTGTAAGAAAACAAACCAATGAAGTATAGCATCTCATCAAGAATGGAATCAAATTATCACCTGGAAACATCTGGAGGGTGAAGGTGGCTGATTCTGGAGACAAACTCTTTAATACACAGGTACCATACATGGCCATTCTCTGGGAGGCAACTGAGATTTCAAAGAAGTAGCAGTTTTTAGGTGTAAGGAATTTGACAACTGAAATTTTACAGTCTGACAGGGACAGCAAACACACACACACAAATGCAAGGGATAAAAATAGGTAAGCCCAGACACCATCAAGAAAGAAAAAAGACAAACCCACACGATAGGAAACAATTTTTGCAAATCATTTATCTGATAAGGGACTTGTATCTAGGATATACAAACAATTAAGAGAATTTAATAACTAGAAGACAGTCCACGCACACAAAGCAAAGCATCCGAAGTCCTTGGTTACAAGAAGAAGCTGAGAGTAGTATGTGCCAGTGAGACAATAAGCAACTAGTAAGAATAATTACATATAATACTATATAGAAAAGAAAACTATATAATGAGATTTGAAGAAAATATACATGTGTGTCTATACACTGCCATTAATCATCCCTCAAGATACTCAGCCCCCCTTCAAACAGATTTACTCCACTGTTCTTGGCAATGTGTTTTTTACTACAGTAAGGAAAAAAAAACCACTGCATATTTTGTTTACCTACTTTATCAGCGACAGGGTCAGAGAATACCCATTTGAGAGAATGCCCCTGTTTGCTGGTACATCTTTTCCTAAGAGACAGAATTAAACATAGGGTATTTTATAAGTAGTTAGCTACTTGCTCACTAGGATGTTTCCATCTTACACTTAAGTAATATTTTATTTTATTATTATTTTTTGGTTGTTTAAGACAGCGTCTTGCTATGTGCTCTAGACTGGCTTTGAATTCACTATGTAGCCCAGGCTGGCTGCAAACTTACTTTGATCTTTCTGCCTCAGCCTCCTGAGGGCTGGGATTACAGGAGTATACCACCATGCCTGGCAGATTTAGGTACTGTGTATTTTAATCAAGGTACCAGGCACTAAAAATTTTTGAATAACTGCAATGTCTGTGACTAAAAGGAAAAAGAAAGCTAACAAAATGATACAAAATCCCTCCCCACTAGAAGAGAAGTCTTAGTTGTGATATATATATATATACACATACACACATATATATGTATGCATGTATGTGTGTATATATACATATATATATATATCCCCTGCCCCCTCCCTCAAGTTCTTATTTCCAAGATGCAAAGAAGTTAGAGGTTGATTTGAAAATATCGTTGGCTTCAGTAAGATATTCAGCTACTTAAATTAACATAGGCAGGATGGGATGTAGCGGGTACACTGCTATAAGGCAGGATAGAGCAAACTAAAATGCAAACTTGAGTTGGAATTTTATTAAAACTTTTCCCTTTTGCTTCTCAGTTTTAGAAGTCAGTCAGTTCTCTAAGCATTTAGCATAACTGGGTACGTGTTTTAGTTAACTCGACAAAAAACGGCACCTGTAATGAAGAGTAAAATAGAGTCTGTATGATACATAATTACTGCTCTCGGTAAATGCCTCACATGGCGTCCATTTTTGCTGTAACTGATGACTTGAAACAAGGTGAACACAGAGTTTCCCTCTTGGCATTGCTCTAAGTTGTTCTGGACCACACTAGCCTTTTTCTTTTGGTCTTTTTGAGACAGGGTCTCGCTATGCAGTTCAGGCTGGCCTTGAGCTCACTTTGTAGCCCAGGCTGGTCTCGAACTCACAACGATCCTCCTGCCTCAGCCTCCTGAGTGCTGGGATTACAGGCATGCACCACCATGTCCGGTCACACTAGCATTACGTGGAGTTTTTTGAAAGACAAGCTGGTCCATTTTGTTTGAGAAACACTGCACAGCACAGCTTGCAGGATATTCATAACCCAGGAATATATTAAATGCCCTGAGAATTTTACATTTCAACAGCATGTTAATGCAGCATTTTCAAAATACATGTAGTTTATGGAAACCTTCTTCTGCTATTAATAGTCAGCAAAACACTGGTTCTGTGAAACCCATGTTGGAGAGCGCTAATCATCATTTACCTTAGACTAATCATCTACCTTAGACTTTGTAGAATAAAGAACATCTAAAAAAGAACTTGAATACTAAGCAAAAGTAATGCCCCATATATTCTGGAATCATACTGAGACAGATAGGAATGTGGTACAAAAAGATGTGATTAAAAAACCTACTTGCAGTTGGGCATGGTGGCTCATGTTTGTAATCTCAGCACTGGAGAGGCTGAAGCAGGAGGACAGGCACAAGTTCAAGGCCAGCCTGGGCCACACAGTGAGACCCTATATCAAAACCAAACCAAACCAAACCAAACCAAACCAAACCAAAACAAAATAAAACAGGACAACATAACAAACCACCCCCCTCAACAAATTAAAACAAAAAAGACAAAAACAAAAAACCCAAACAACCCTCTTCAAAAAACCCTAATTGCATACTTTTACAAGGTCACTCCAGAATCAAAGCAAAAAGGCCACATGTCTTTTTAAAGGCTATGTCCATGAATTAATGTAAAGAAGCATCAACAACAAAAATATCCTCAAAGCAGCAATTATCCAGAAGCTTTGTTTAGGAATATTGTGTTCTTTTATATATAGAAAATGTAATTTCTAAAAAGAACACACCACAAGCCTGCTTTCTGTTTCAGCAACTCAAATCAACCTTAAAAATAAAATCAGGTGAGTGGCAAGGACATCGTATCACAAAAAAAATTTTATGGGGACTGGGGATTTAGCTCAGCAGCACAGCCCCTGCCTGGCAAGCGCGAGGTCATGAGTTTGATTCCCGGTACCAGAAACAAACAAACAAACAAACAAAAAACCAAAAAAAAATTTATGTTGTCTAACTTTTTTTTTGTTTGTTTGTTTTCTGGTACTGGGATCTAAATTCACGACCTTGAGCTTACCAGGCAGGCACTGTGCTGCCGAGCTAAATCCCCAGCCCCATATGTTGCCTAACTTAACTATGTAAAAACAGCAAAGGGAAAAATTCTACATATATATGTAGATCCCAGATTTAATATAATTATGGTACAGGAACACTACTTTTCTTCCACTTAAATTCATAAAGTGATAGGAAAACTAGATCATAGACTCAATATTAGATAAGTTTCATCATCTTCTAAGCAAAGCTAAAATCTATACAGAGCTAAAATCTCAACCTCTCAAAAAAACCCTCATCCTGTTTTTTCCTAAATACGGTACTTTGAGTGATCTGCTTATAGGTTTAGTCAGTACCACTGCGGGTCAGAGATAAAGCCTCCCTGCAGAGGCAGACCAGAGAAAACACATCACAGGTGAGAGGAACTATTTGCAGATGTCTCTCACCTTAGAAGACAGTTTATAACTGTGGCTAATGGAAAGTGCAGCTTCAAAACGATTCAAAGTGTAAGGAAGGGCTCTGCTGAAGTCGCATCCAGCATGCATTGATGTGCCTCTGGGATTAAAGGATTCTGCAGAGGACACTGTCTCATTATAGTGTGACGAGTTTTGCATAGAACTTAGAAATAGAGAAGCATGAAGAATAATTTTTCAGTTTTCTACCCAGTAAAACCCAGGATAAAATTGTTAGACATAAAATTATCTTTGCTGGAGAGGTAACTAAGCTTTTCTAGGGTAGGTGACCTCATTCTTGAAACTGCCCAACTCTAATTAATTAGTAATCAGAATTGTTCTGATTACTAATTTGATTTCTCAGATATCTTGATAATAAAGGAGGTCTGAGGATGCTGGATATAGTACACTCCTTTATTATATTCACAAACTGGCAGGATAGCATATATATATATACTTGTGTGTATATATATATATATATATATATATATATATATATATATATATGTATGTGTGTGTGAATTTGGTTAGCAGAAGTCTTCTATTGTCTAGCTCTAGGTACACTTAATAAAATAGTTTTTTGATCTCAGAGTTTAGAACTAGACTCTGAGTATGATTATCAACTCAAGATACTGCCAGCAATCTTTTCTCAGTGACATTTATTTCAGTCTAATTTCAAAACCAGCTACTCTCTGTTTTGTTTAAAAGTCTGTATCATGCTGGGTGCAGTGGTAAATGCCTGTAACCCCAGTTAGTCAAGGGCAGCGGGTGGAAGCTGAGACAGGAGGGTAGCAAGTTTGAGTCCAGCCTGGGCAAGTTGGTGAGCCTCTGTCTCAAAAAAAAAAGAAAGAAAAAAGGCTGTGGATTTAGCTCAGTGGTAGAGTGACCCGGAGTTCTCTAGTACTGCAGAAAAGAAAAGAAAAAGCCTGTGTTACACTGATTTGAAGTCTTCTTCATAATGCTTAAATGCTGATTGCAACATGAAATGTACACAGGTTGAGGACCTCTTATTTGAAATGCTTAGGAGCAGAAGTGCTTCAGATGTGGGGGTTTTTCAGAGTTCGGAATATTTGCATAGACTTTATTGGCTGAACACCTTAATCCAAAAGTCATGTCACCACTCAAAAAGTGTCGGGTTTTACAGCATTTCAGATTTTGGATTTTCAGAGCAGGGATGCTCAACTGTATTTAATCTTTGTCCCAGGTTCCTGTAAAGATCTTGCAAAACCTTGCCATTTTATGACTAAGAGGGGTGATAAAATCATCACTTGTTATAATATTGTCTTGGTCCCAGGTTCCTGACACAAAAACTTGTAAGACTCTTAGAATCTCTGGAGTGACGAGTGCCTTTTGTCTGCTAAGAACATAACTAGTGACAGGGGCTCCTCGTTTCAGGATTGGGCCACAACAACCAAGGCATAACTAGAGTTCAGAACTTTCAGTCGCAACCCCAGTCATCTGCAGAGAGGGGCTGAGGATTAAGTCCCTTGCCAAGAGGCAATGAGTTAATCAATCATATCTAGTAGTGAATCCTCCCTAAACCCTAAGCTATCAGGTCTGGAGAGCTTTCCAGTTGGTGCCAAGAGGAGACAATCTTTGCTTTAATGAGAAATCAGACCACTGATATGTAATACGATTGCCAATATGGTTAGATTTCAATCTGCTGTCTTTTAATTTGTTTTGTATTTGTCCCATTTATTTATTTAGTTCCATTTATTGTTTGTTCCCTTTCTCCCATTTTTTGCCTTTGTTTGTTTGCAGTGAAGTGTTTTTTTTAAATGATTCCATTTTATCTCCTTTATTGACTTATTGGTTATAACTCTGTGTTAGTGGTTCTTAGGGTTTATAGAATACACCTAATAATACATCATATTCTACTGATACCATACTACTTTTCATGTATGATTCAGAAACGTCACATTAGCGTATTTCCATTTCTCTCCTGCCTGAATGGCTTCTTTTAACAATTCCTGTGGTTCACAAGAAACTGGATGTGATGGAAGCTGGATGGATGTAGAAACTGGATCTTTGTTACTACCTTTTTTCTCTTTCTTACTGGAACTGAGCGGTCTGATCTTGGTGTGGCTTGACACAGTTTCCATGGGTTTCTTGGGTTTGGAATCTGCTCAGCTTCTTGGCTCTGTGCATTTAGTTTACATCAAATTTGGAGAAATGTCACCCATTCATTGAAAAAAATTCCTTTTCTGTTCTTCCCCAGGGCCCCAACTGCAATTATACAGGGCCATACGAAACTGTCTCACAGCTTCCTGATGTTTGTGTCTTTTTCCTTTGTGTTTAATTTTGGACAATTTTATTGCTACATTTTTGAATTCACTAATTCTTTTGCAAGGTCAAATTTTCTGTTAATCCTATCGAGTATAATTTTCCCTCATATTTTTCATCTTTATAAATTAATGCATTTAAGGATTTTCCCTGTGTTTATTTAAAATGTTCAGTATTTCCTCTAGCTTTTTGAAGATACAGGGTATAACTTTTAACTGTTTTAATGACCTTGTCTGTTAAGTCTACAATCTGAGTTTGAATAATTGATTTTTGAATGTTTTGTTTTGTATGTTTGGCAATTTTTGATTGGATGTCAGGCATTCAGAATTTTACCTTCTCGGAGCTGGGTATTTTTTATTTCTATAAACATTTTTTAGTTCTCCTCTGAGATACTGTTAGGTTATTTAGAGACAGTTTGATTCTTTCCAGTTGTGCTTTTAAGAGTAGTTCTTCAGTAGGCCTGGAGTGGTATTTACTCAGGGCTAGTTACTCTCCCTATCTAGGCAAGAACCTTGTTAGGGCTCTGCCCCATGCTCAGGGATCATGAGGTTTGCAGGCTGGCTGCTGGGGCAGACACTCTGTGCACGCACCCTGTGTGAATGCGGAGGGTCCTGACCTCTCATCCTTCCAGGTGGGTCTTCCCCAGCCTCAAGTACTTTCCTCATGTGCATGGCTCATCAGTACTCAGCTGGATAAATCTAGCTGCCCTGGTGTCTCCAAGCTCTCAGCTCTGTTTTTTCAACTGGGGAACCCACGGGCCTTTGCCATGGCTCTCCCACGCAGGACAGTCTAGAAAGCCCCCAAGGCAGGAGGTTCACACCCAGCACGCTTCACTTTGCTTGGTATCTCCAGGATCGGTACTTTTCCTTGTTTGATGTTCACTATTTTTAAAACTATTGTTTCACATATTCTGTTGGCTCCCCCATATATCTTCTTTCCACTCATTTAAATAGCTACACTGCATTCATGTAAATATATAACTTATAATCCAATCACCTATTGATGAGCATTTACATTTTCTCCAGGTTTGGGCTGTTATAATATACAAACACATACATAATGCCTTTGATGTCTGTGCAAATCTAACTATAGAGTAAACCCAGAGCTGTGCGGTTTCTAGGAAAGCTCTTTTTTTTTTTTTTTTGGTACAGGGAATGGAACTCAGAACCTTGCGCTTGCTGGCCAGGTGCTTGTGCCACTGAGCTATCTCCCCGGCCCTCCGTTTCTAGAGTAAGAAGTATAGGCATTTTAAATTTTGATCAATGCTGCCAAGTTGTTCACTCAAGAGGAACTTATCTTATACCCCAACAACAGCATTCCCCTAAATTCTTGCAAATACTGGTTCCTAGCAATATTTTAAAGTTCCCCAAACTTACAGGTGAAAACCATATTTCACTGTTCTGATTTAAATAATACTATAACTACGTATTTTTTTGAAGATCTGAAATGAAGTACCTGTGAAGTCACCTAAACTTGCTGGAACTTTGAGATGAAGTAATTCTAAGAATTCTTCCTTTGGATATTGCTATATTTACATCAGTATCTCTTCTTAGGTCAATCTGGGCAATATTTTTCTTAAAGTCGCCTTTTCATTAATAGTTTAAAATTTACTTGGATCATTTTATAAACTGTTCATAATTATTTCACCTTTTTCCTATGAATTCATCTAAGCAAGTATTTTAACTGTGGCCTTTACCTTCCATTTTCCAACTTCCACACTTTCACTTGCCCAACAGCTGCCATCTCTCGGCAAATGACAGTTCACGTAATCTGCTTCTGACAAACAAGTACACTCATCGCATATACCTTCCCCTCAACCCCTGCAGTCCAAATCTCAGTATGTCCTATTCTTCTTTTCCAAATTATGTTTTCTTCTCCAACCTTGGTTTAGTGATAATACATTCTATAAAAAGTATTAAATGACTACTAAATACAAAGCAGATCTGTAGGTACTATGAAAGATACAGGAAAATACAGATCTCTACCCTCAAGGAAATACCCTATCCTGTTTCAAAGAAAATGATGCTTGGAAGTATTCACTTCCTTGAGGAGGGCTTTGTAGCTTAAGTCTAAAGCTGTAGTCATGCCAGCCATTCCAACAATGCTGCAGTACAGACAGGCCAAGCTCACAGATGGGGCCGCTGGCTATGCATCGCTGTTTTATTATAGGTCTACTTAGGGAAGTTGCATCTGAATTAGTCTTTTCTTTCCATGATGGTCTGTTTCAAGCTCACCTTACCTTACGGACATGACAGGAAAAGAGGACATTCATGTATTTGTCCTTCCGTTTCAGTTCATTAGCAACGGGGACAAAGGTGCCTGAGGTCTGAGGTGTGTCTGGCTTCTGAAAGGAAAAAGGAAACAATGAAATGAGAACCCTTAGCATTTGAGCTGCAAAGGCAATCTTTTAGTGGACTGTTTTGTAACTGTACTTACACAGTTTTGCACACATATTTTTTTATCTCCTCACCCCAGAGGGTAGGATTATAAAAGGTTGTTATAACACCAAAAGTCCTATGAAATTTTTAAATTAGGAAATAAGAGAGAAGATGAAATGTAGCTTTGGGAATAATTAATATAAAAGGTAGAAATTAAAAATAGTTGCTGAATAATGCAAGGGAAGGTTTAAAAAGCCACAGGCCAGGTTATAGAGTGCATTTCACGCATATGAATACAACAGAGGACCTTTGTTAAGATGAGGGGAACATCAAAGATTGTACACTTAGAAGCAATACAATCTTTTAACATAGTACCTCACACAGGAATCATTTAGTTTCTGAGTGTTTTATTTTTCTGTCATTTTTTGGAGAAAAATTCTTCACTTTCTTTGTAAAGAGAGCAGGAGTAGATTGCACACTGTTGTCTTGGACTTACCGAAGCAAGATAGTTGCCCTCCCAGGCCCTCTGGAGCCCCAGGTCAGCCCTTTGACCCTTCAGCATTTCCACGGCTGCAACCTTTGCTCTGACCTGGGGCAGGTCGGAAGCAGGTATGCTCTTGATGAGCTGGGATGCTCTCCATCTACAAGGAAACAGACAACAGGTACTGACTTTAGAACCTCAGTCCCATTCATTCTCAAGAACTTAAGCTGTCATTAAGTAAAATGAAGCCACAGTACGTGTGCACACAATGCTAAAAAAGTAAAATGCCTCCAAAATACTCCCCAGAAGTTGTTAAGCACAGTTTGACGCAGATATCTGTTTTGTAAAAACTTTTTTTTTTTTCGGTATATTTTTGAGATAGGGTCTTCTTATGTAGTTCAGGCTGGCCTTAAACCCACTATGTAGCTTAGGCTGGCCTGAAATTCATTGATCCTTCTGCCTCAGCCTACCCAGTGCAGGGATTACAGGCATGCACCATTGTGCCTGGCCAATTACTTTGTTGTTTTGAAAGCCGTTAAACTTAGTGATACATAAGCTCTCATAACAGAAGTTGAGTAACCCCAATCTGAAAATCAGATATCTGATATGCTCTGAAAGTCAAAACTTCTTGATCAAAGCTCAACCAGTAAATTCTGTGCAAATATTCCAAAGTTTAAAAATTCTGTAATCAAAACACTTCTAGACCCAAATATTTCAGTTAAGGGATACTCAACCTGTGTTTATATTTAGGGCACAAAACATGTAGATTCACCATTAATCCATCCATTCATTTACCCAACCATTCATTCAGCTATGTCCTAGGCACCTACTAAACTCCAGTTGCTGTCTTAGGCAGTGGAGGCATAGCAATAAGCAACAGAGATAAAGGTCCTTTCTGCTAGGTGCTTATACTCTAAGAGGAATGACAGACGATAAACATACAATGAGCAGATATCAAGTGTGTAGATACTTGCAATGGAGGAAAACAACCTAAGGCAATGAGGGCAGGGAGTGCCGCAAAAGAGGGGTGGGAGCAGGTGCTGTTTATATGGGTGGCCTGGGGAGGCAGCTCTTACAAGGACAGATAGCAGACACCTCCAGGAAGGATGGCAGCCAGCCATGCCGAGGGTGGAGCAGGAGTGAGAGAAGGCGGCAAGTGCAAAGGCGCTGAGATGGGAGCTATGTGGTGTGTTAGAGGTGCAACTAGGAGTCCTGTGAAGCTGGAGCAGCATATGGTGTGTGTGGGGGGAAAGGGCTGCAAAACAGGAATAGGTTAGTGGGAAGCCAGGGCCAGAAGCCATGAGGCCGTGATCAGGACTTTCACCTTTACTCTGAGTGGGATGAGAAGCCACTGGAAGGTTCTGCATAAAGAAGGGATCACTGTACTGCTGCAGGCTTGTACAGTGTGTCATCAGTATTTCTTAGGTCAATCTGGGCAATATTTTTCTTAAAGCCACCATTTCATTAATAGTTTAAAGTTTACTTGGTGAAATGATGTTTCACCTTTTTCACAGTGGTGAAAACTTAAGCTTTAGACTTAAGCTACAAAGCCCTCCTCAAGGAAGTGCATACTTTGGAGCGTCATGTTCTTCCAAACAGGATAGGGTATTTCCTTGAGGCTAGAGATCTGTATTTTCCTGTATTTTTCATAGTACCTGCAGATCTGGTTTGTCTTTAACAGTCATTTAATACTTTTTATAGAATGCATTATTACTAAACCAAGGTTGGGGAAGAAATGTGTCTGCTGATCTGTCCTTGTAAGAGCTGCCTCCCCAGGCCACCTGTATAAACAGCACCTGCTCCCACCCGTCTTTTGCGGCACTCCCTGCCTGCATTGCCTTGTGTGGTTTTCCTCCATTGCAAGTATCTACACACTTGAAGGTGTGGGCTCCCTGCCACTTGAAGGCCAACACTCGGGAGGTAGGAGTCGTTGGGAAGGAATTCGGTTTACGCCAGGGCTGACTCTGAAGAAGATGCAAGGGGCATCTCCTCATGGAGGTCCACCTTGGAGGACTCTCCAGCATAAGGGACTTTTATAGGGAAAGGTGGAGCGGGGCAGGGAGGCCACACGCTAAGTGGGATCTTCGTCATCCAGGGTATAAGTCTCCTTTCTCTCTGGCCAGAACATGGTGATGGACCTCAACCTCCTGGGGCCAGTTCCTGTATTCTAAACCCCACAGCAATTTACAGAACTAAAAAAGACTAAGGAGCAGTGTTACAAAGGTCATCAGGTTCTGGGTTCCATAAAGCTAAAGAAAGATTACTTTAGCAGTTAATGACTTAACCGCCTGGGTGAGGCTTCTCTTTAGAAGTGAGAATGCCCCGCAAAGGGAAAGGGTACATAAGCCTTGCAAAACAAGAGGAAAACAAAAAGACATTGCCAAGGAGGACTTCTAAAGAGATCCTTCTTGCTACAAACTGGGGCCAAGCTGACCGGTTAGTAGGTGGTTTCCCTAATGCACAGGCCAGAGGAAGGTAGCTTGGAAGTGCTGGCTCTGAATGATATTCTGAAGGAAGAGCCAACTGGGTTTTCTGATGGATTAGATGTGAGGGAAATAATAGATTTAAGGATGACTCCAAGGTCTTTTGGCATAAGCAACTGAAAGCATAAACCAAACACATTCTTGACAGAAAAACAGGTGCAAGGTGTTTTATCTTCCTAGCAGCGTCTGAACCCTGCATGATACTTGTCATCTTTTCTGATACAGGAGCTCGAAGTGGGGCGGCTGGAAGCAAACTTAACTTTTAAAAATTAAGGCTAGTGGTTCTGAAGCTATGTTCCCATGGAATACCAGAATAAGATGCCACTATAATCAAGAATTACCACATAAATAACTGAATAAATGTAAAAATAAGAAAAATCTATACTAGCAGGAAACGAGAATGATGTCAAGAAGTGGAAGCTGTGAAGACTTTCTGGAAGACAATATGGCAGGGAGAATGGGGCTGGTGGGGAGGTGGTTTGGTGTGCGGTAGCCCATGTGGAGAGATGCTCTCAGACAAAGATGGGCTTCTCGACAAGGCCCAGAGAACTGATATGCCTGAGCAGCAGGAGTTAGCAGCAGGTGCAGAAGGTGACAGCTTTCAAGTGGGAGCTGTGCCAGTTCCCTGCGTGTGGACAGGCAGGCCATGATGAGGCAAGACATTTGCTACAGCAGGCGGGGTCACTGACAGTTGCAATCATTATGAAACAACCATTATGAAAAAGTGAGGGCTTAATGTAATAACATTATAAAAATGATTATGAAAAAGTAAAGGTTCAATGTAACAGTGAAATCTTCTTTTCCTGTGGCCAACCACCACACGGACAGGGCATCCTAAGACCACTGAGAAGAGGCTATAAAAGGGACACATTTGGAGCAGCTGGGGGTCAAAGTCAAGAACACTAGTGACAGGCAGGTCCTACAACACTAAGTGTCTCGCTGGGCAACGGCCCCAGTCGGCCCTTGTAATGGTTTAGAGCTGGGGTGTCCCTCAAAAGCCGCGTGAGTCTGGAAGGTGAATGGATCCTGGGGGTGCCACCCACATCAGTGGGTTAGTTCTGGCTGCCCTGGGAGGCTGTCCTCTGCGCAGACCCTTCCACCATGCTCTTTCTGCCTTGGAGCCTGCTGAGCATGGACCAAAACTTCTGAAACTGTGAGTCAAAATAAACTTCTTGTCCTTCAAATGGTGGGTGATGGGGTTGCGTCTCAGCAACAAGGACAGCAATTAAGACAGATTTTGGCACCAGAAGTGGAGCTGTTGCCATGATTATATCTGACCATGTGGTTTAGAAGCCTGGCTTGTGGGAGGAGTTTGGAAAGGTTTAAAGTTGCCAGCTAATTCCCCTTCTGGGTATTTTCCCTAAAGATGTGAAAACATGTCACAGCGATGTATGTGCACCCATGTTCATAGCAGCACCATTTGTAAATGCTAAATTGTGCCATGACTCAACCCAAATGTCTGAGCAGAGGACAGCATCCCAGGGCAGCCAGAACTAACCCACTGATGTGGGGGGCATCCCCAGGATCCATTCACCTTCCAGACTCACGCGGCTTTTGAGGGACACCGCAGCTCTAAACATTACAAGGGCCGACTGGGGCCGTTGCCTAGCGAGACACTTAGTGTTGTAGGACCTGCCTGTCACTAGTGTTCTTGACTTTGACCCCCAGCTGCTCCAAACGTGTCCCTTTTATAGCCTCTTCTCAGTGGTCTTAGGACGCCCTGTCCACGTGTTGGTTGGCCACAGGAAGTACAAAAGAAGATTTCACTGTTACACTGAACTTTTACTTTTTCATAATGGTTGTTTCATAACGACTGCAATGGTTAGTGACCCTGCCTGCTGTAGCAAATTTGGGTTTGCTAAATTGTGCCATGATGCAACCCACATGTAGTAATTGTGCCACATGTGCAACCCAAATGTCCATCCACTGATTGGATAAAAAAATTGTGGTACTTTTATATAATGGAATATTACTCAGCTATAAAGAAAGATAAACTCGAGGCTTTTATAGGTAAATGGTCACAACTAGAGATCATACTCATAAGTGAAATAAATCAGACCTGCATGTGTAAGCATCGTATTGTCTCACTAGTGTAAGACCTAAAAGAGTGAATGAAAACTAGGAGGTATGATAGACATTGTGAAACAAAAGGAAAATGCTCAAAAGTAAAGGGCAGCTGGGGTGTGGGGAGAAGGGAAAGAAGGGGAAATTATGTAAGTATGTATATACAGGATAGCTAACATAGTTGTACTACTGTCTTCTATTGCTCTACAGAAAGGAACAGTTAATGATTACTTGTTTGATCAATCTTGTATATCTCTATTTGTTTTCCTGAGAAACCACGTTGAAGTTATCAATAAGTAATACAACAACCATGGTTAATTTCCTACAACTTTGTCTGTAACTCTTTTGTTTGTATTATTCTTATGCTATTTTGTAAGTGGATGTCTGTCTGTTATTATGTTTTTTCTTTTATTTTTTAAAATAAAAAAAAAATAACGTTGCCAGCTTGTGAAGCCCTAGAATGCTATAAACTGAGCTTGACAGAAGATTCTGATTAGAGATATGAGGACCAGAATGCTAATAGAAATGCAGATGGTAAAGGCCAGCCTCAGGAGATTTCAGTGGGGAACAAGAACCCCACTGGCAGCTGGACTCAAAATCATGTGTATTATACTCTAGCACAAAACTTGTCCACATTTTGCTTGTGTCCTGAGACTTTGCAGGAGACTGAGACTAAGGACAGTGGACTCAGTCTGGCAGAGGAAATTTCAAAGCAGCTCAACATAGGTACAATGTGGCATAGGTACTGCTGGTAGCTTTTAATAAGATCTACAGTGAGAAACAGGAACAAAAAACCAATCTAAAAAGTCTGCATTTTTGCCAGAAAAGAAGTGCCTGCAAAGTTGCAGCAAGGGAGAAAATGGCTGCTGAAAAGTTTAGCATCAAAAAAAAAAAAAAAAAAAAAAAAAGTCAAATACTCTGCATCAGGACAATGGGAAAGATGCATTGAGAGCACCTTGTAAATCAGCAAGATCTAAAATTTCCTATCCCTGTTTCTCTCTTTGGGAATGTGCCACTGTATATCAGCAGTGTTCAATGTTCTTTTTGATAGTTTACAGGAATTCACAGCAAAGTTTACCTTGAGTCTCAAAGGAGACTTTGGACTTGGACTTTTCAGCAATGCTGGAACTGTTAAAACCTTGGCAACCCTAAGAGTTGGACTACATGGATTTTGCATAAAGACAGATGCACATGAAGTTTTGGAGGGACAGGGGTGGGATGTTATGGTTTAGATCTTGGGTGACTGGAAGGTGACCGGATCATGGGGGCACTACACTCAGCCACTGATGCGTTAAAAGCTGAGTTGGTGTTAGGAGGCGGGATCTGGTCAGTAAAGGTGCGTCACTGGAGAGAGGACCTGGAAGAGTACCTCCCCTCACCCCAGCCCCAGCGTCTCCCTTTACTCCGCCTCCTGGCTACCATGGGATGAGCAGCTGTCCTCTACCCAGGCCCCTCATCCACGCAGCCTTGGAGCTTCCAGACCACAGACTGAAACTTCTGAAACCATGACCCAAACCCTTCAAGTTGTATGCCAGGTACTATGTCTCAGGGATGAGTAAAGTGACGAAGACAGCCCTGGAGAGGCAACTTCCATTGGGAGGAGAGATCTTTGCTCCTACTGCTGCTCTGTTTCCAGCCTCTTCGCTTGCTCAACCTGCGCCCTCCTCGATGCCCACAATGGTGCAGGCCAAGGCTCAACCTGACTGATTTCAGAGCCCTGGACAAAGGCACGTTGGGGCATTGAGGACCTGATCGCCACTACAATGGACAGCGCCATGGACTTCTCATCCTGGTTATGCCAACCACCACCTAAAACTGTGCGCAGCCATCAACAGCCACAACCACTAACCCCAGCGGCCTTGATGACACGAGAAGGGGACAAGGCTGAGCACAATGCAGGCTGGATTAGAAAGAGCTACTGTGAGGAGGAGCAAAGATCAGAAGCACTAGACACACTGAGATTCCACAACTACAAAAATACCGCCCCGCCCCATAACAGTGGAACCCTTTAACACTTCTTTCAGTATTTCACAGATCAAAAAAAAAAAAAAAATCAAGATCAGGGGCTGGTGAAATACATCTTGCGTCACATACAGCCGATGGTCTGTTTTTGTGCTCCCCTCAAGCTAGGAAGAATCTTTACATTTTTACATGATAACAAAACAAACATGTGAGAGACCATATGTAGCCTGCAAAGCATAGAATATGTACGACTGGCCCTCTATAAAAATGTTTGCTGACTCCTCACTAGATTGAATACAAATGGCAAGATGTGTTCAGAGCGAGTGAGTGAGCAGATCTGCATGCACGTGCGCACAGACAAGCAGAACGGACGCAGTATTTCCGGCGCGTCCACTAGCAGTGACCCTAGGGTGGCTGGGACTGTCTTTCCCATCTTTCTTGCTTGTCACTTTATCCCTGCAACTGAGGCCAGTGCCTGCAACAGAGCAGGTACTCAGTAAGCATGAACTGAGTGAGTAAACTGAATTTACACAAATAAATACATTCTAGGCCACAAATAAAACCTCAAAATCTAAAAAGATCGCCACAATCTAATCAAAATCAAGCCATTACAAATACTATGTAGATGTTTGTTGTCATGGGCTGGTCTTTGTGACTGTTTTTGAAGTTAAATCGTAGACCCATACATATAATCCTGCTTGTCTAAAAAACAGAGGGGAAAGCCTGAATGGCGTGTAGCTGTGTATGTACACATGCAGTATGGGCAAACATTTTCAAAGCATCTACTACATGTCAGGCGGCACCTGAAATGCTTTATATATTTACTAATTTTATAGCTTTCAGCAATCTTATGAGGCAGGTGCTATTTCATGATCTTTCTAAAGAAAGACTGAGGCATCAAGAGGTTAACTCATTTCCCCAAAGTTACACAGCTAGACCAGTGGCAGAGGCAGAATGATGCCGGGTCTGTGTTTTCAGCTGCTCTGTCATACTGCCTCTTACAATATGTGCCTGTGTTTCGTAAGTGTACAGACAAAGGCTTAGAAGAATACTAGTTGTGAATGAGTGGTATCTCAGGAGAAGGAAATAAAATGGGGGGAAGACAAAGGAGGTATGGAGGATTTCAATTTTACAGCTTATATATTTCACTTAAAAATGAGCATGCATTTAAATACAGTTTACTTTTAAATTATGTAAAAAATACAGATTACAGGTGATACCATTCATGAAAAAAATTTATCTGTGCATTAAAATCTTGCAGAGCCAGGTGTGGTGGCGCATGCTTGTAATTTCAGCACTCAGAAGGCTGAGGCAGGAGGATTGCTGTGAGTTTGACGCTAGCCTGGGCTACACAGTGAGTTCAACTCCAGCCAGAACTACATCGCAAGACCCTGTCTCACATACATACTCACACACACACATGAAGCCCTGCAGAGATTAAAAACTAACACTTAGAGGGCTGTATCTGAGAACTGAAGGCTGAGGTACTTTTCTTTTCAATAATTCTATATTATTTCTTTTTTTTCTTTTATGAGCATTTAGTTTTTAAAAATGCATATAGTATATTAAAGAGTTTGATTCTCATGAATTTTTATCTGATACCTTCTATCAGTTATATAGAGCAAAGTCTACAGAAGATGAGGTACTTTTCTTTTCAATAATTCTATATTATTTCTTTTTTTTCTTTTATGAGCATTTAGTTTTTAAAAATGCATATAGTATATTAAAGAGTTTGATTCTCATGAATTTTTATCTGATACCTTCTATCAGTTATATAGAGCAAAGTCTACAGAAGATGAAATCTGACTTGGCACAGAATTATAGATTAGTTCTTTTATGTTCAGGATATCAACTAGTATTCTCTGTAAAAATGATGCCATATGATTACATCTGAGCCCTGCTAGCTTAGTTCACATGACTAGATGGCTGTACCTAAGGCAGAGCTAGAATAGTCAACACTCCATATCCACACATTCCACGTCTACAGATTCAGTTAACTCTGGGTCAAAAATGCAGTTAGGTCTACAATAGTTGTGACTCTTGAACACATGCAGACATTTTTTCTTGTCATTGTTCCCTAAACAAGACAGCATAACAACTATTTACACAGCACTTACATTTCCTTACATATAAATAATCCAGAGATTAAAGTATGTGGGAGTTTGTGTGTAGGTTATATGCAAATACTATATTGTTTTATAGGAAAGATTTGAGCACCTCTACCTATGAATTTTAGTATCCATAGGGACTGATGGAACCAATGCCTGCGGGTACTGAGAGCCAACTGTATGTCTGGTGCACAGTGGCAACAAAGTAAGCTCAAAACAGAAAAGACTTATGCAAGCAGATTCAGATTCAGGCCAGGTCATAAAATGAGGACCAGTGGGGAAGGTAGCAAATTTTACATGGCTGTTTATTTAAAAAAAAAAATAGCACTGGGGATTTAGCTCAGGGGCACAGCGCCTGCCTGGCAAACGTAAGGTCGTGAGTTCAATTCCCGGTACCGGAAAACAAATAAACAAACAAAAAAATAGCTTTGTATATTTTTCACCCTTGGCTGCATTTTAAAATCACCTGGAAAACCTTAAAAGGCCCTCTGCCTGGGGTCTACCTCCAGCTCCATCAAACAGGGCTCTCTGGAAGTGGCCTTGGGCATTAGCGGTTCAGAAACTCCTCATGAACCTAAGGCACAGCCAGACTGAGCACTGCCGGTCTGAAAAGATTAATGGATTTGCTAGTTTGAGTTACATGGGGTGAATCTAACAGATGGGTCCACCCATCTGTCTGTCTGTCCTTTCCTTCCCTCCCTCCCTCTCTTTTTTTGCTAGTAACAGAAAGTCGAGACAGCAAGCTTGTAGCTTATCTTAAACACAGGTTAGAGCTAGGGTTCAGGGCATGTAGCTGCAAATAGCTACAGCTGACAATACCATTATTTTGAGAGGTAAGTAGATACTCTTGGAAAGCAAAATCTATAAAACTAAAGGCAGAAAGGAAAGATAAGCACCATAATAGTAAAGAACTCAGCCAATTATCAGGGTCTAGGATTTGTGGCTTGTGCTGCCACGAATGGATGTGGTGCACGCCAGCAAGTTCTTACCTATTGAAAATTGCCTGTAGGGCCTCCTCAAAGCGACGCAGCACTTTAGGAGGGGTGGGCCACTTCACGTGCTTCCCATAGTCTTTCATCGTCTTGACGCCCTGGAAGCGTCTGGCCACCTCCTTGAGGTACGACTTCACTTTGTAGCGCCGGTAGTACCTGATTATGGTCAGGGCAGCTTTTGTCCTCTTGTACCGCATGCGGGCCAGCGTGCCCCGCCACACCTTCACAATAGAGAAAGAGAAAGGAAAACGTTGCTGGCTGGCTGAGTAGTGTGTGACTTTGGCATTACAGAAGCTCCTTTACCTAACTGCAGGGGACTGGCCTGTGCACCCACCAGCCGGGGCCAAAACATGTCAATTCTATCCATCACCAACAGATGGCGCTGGCACTCATGTCAGTTTTTTTCCAGGCATCTAGGGGCTCACGGCTCTACCTAGAACTGTATTATGAGTTGAAGCAGTCTTGTTTTGATTTCATTGTCATGAAAAGAAGAAAGCCAAAATGCAACTATCTGTGGATAAGTATTTTAGGAATGTTGAAGGAAAACAAGATGAGTCAGAGACAAACAAAATAAGTACCTATAGTTTTCTTGTGAGACCTAGCTTCACACAGATTCACACCCTGGTTACTAGTATAATATCACTTTGGATTTACAGACGGATTCGTATACAGCCTGTGCATCCCCTCTTCCCAGGCTTGAAGTGAACTTCCAAGGATTCAGAAGGATTTCTTGGGAAAGGGTAAAACAGATTACCAATATCTGAGTCCTCATTATGAGTTTCCAGTGCTCAGAAACCTTTCATTTTATAAATGTGTCAGTGCCAACTTCACCCAAGCATGAAATTAGAGACTTTTTTTTTCAGGATCTTGTGTCCAGGTGGTCGCATTTGTCAACCTCTTGAGCAAATCAAATTTGATGTAATTTTCACCACTGGCCCCTCACCTGCATGTCCCTGCAATCACCAAATTTATTCTTTCTCCTACAGTATTTCCAGCAGTCTTTCTGTTCCTTTCTCCTACCACGCTCTATGACCCCATGCTACCTGCTTTCTTTGATAAAAGCGCACAGACCATTATGTTGCAGGTGCTATTTACTGCTGTACCTTAAATAACCACTCTGGTTCTTAGGTTTTGTATTATTTCCCTCCCTCATCCCCAATCTGAAAGGGCCAAGGTTTTCAACCTCTAATTGAAAGGCCACAGGATGGGTTCTCCAGACTCCCCAAGGTTTCTTTCATTTCTTCTAAAATCCCCATCTATGCCCACCAATTTCTCTTAAAAATTTGAGCACAGGGCCTCTTTTATTTGGTTGTTTAGGATCTGTTTTCTTGCAGGCTTTAAAGGTGCACCATGGGCTTGCTATGTACTCCCTTTTCAGCCGGTGGCTCTGTAAAGACAGATTTGTTTGCACACAGCATGGGGGGAGGTTGTCAAGGAATCCCAAGGAGTCAAGAAAATCTATGATCTATAAGGGGAACAAGGCATATGCACAATTTGTGATGAGAACCCAGGATTCACATGTACGCAGATTATTTAAGGACAGTGAAGCAACGAGAACTCTCTCCATGTCTGTCTCACATGGCACTGGTGTAGCTAAGCGGCTCTCTTCCCTGTAGCTGAATGCGCTGTACAGATGGCTGCACTACGCCTCCGCCTAGGCACTAAAATAAAGGCCCTTCTTTTAATATCTTGAAAAACCAAAAAAATACAATTAGAGGGTAGAAGTGTGTGATTCAGTTTTTTTGACAAAACACATGTTCAAAGTTCTATACTGTTTGTGGCTTTTCTTTTTCCTTTTTTTGTCTTTTTGAGACAGGGTCTTCCTGTGCAGTTCAGGCTGACCATGAGCTCACTTTATAGCCCAGGCTGGTCTCCAACTCCCAATGATCCTCCTGCCTCAGCCTTCTTGGAGTGCTGGGATTACAGGCGTGTGCCACCACGCCTGGCTGGCTTTTCTTTTTTTCTTAAAGCAAAAGAAATTAAGACTCCCTGGAATTGCATCATCAATCTTTAATTTCCAAGAAGTGCTTTATAGAGTGTTTTATTAAAAAATGGTTAAGATTACTTAGCAATTCTTAAAAAAATTTTGTAAGTTTTTTTTTAAAGGACAATCTTTAAATTTTCACCTGTGATTTTTTTTTTTTTTTGTCTTTTTGAGACAGGGTCTCACTATGCAGTTCAGTCTGGCCTTTAGCTCACTTTGTAGCCAAGGCTGGTCTCCAACTTGCAATGATCCTCTTGCCTCAGTCTCCCGGGTGCTGGGATTACAGGTGGGTGCCACCACGCCCAGCCTTGTGTTTTTGATTTATTTAGTTCTGAGGAGTTGAAAAGAAGAAACGCTTCTAATAAAAGAAAGTGGCCCTTTCCCTCACCCACCTAGTCCAGCTCCACCTCACAGCCTCATCCTATACAAACTCTTGCAGCTGCTTACTCTGGTATTCTGGTATTTGTCACAGTTATAAATAATACGCACAGGCTGTTATTTTTTCCTTTCAGAAATTATCCAAATTATAGAAGTTGCAGTTTCAGCTCTCTCCCCATCACTTATGTTTCTTCCTTCATCCCAGTGATAGTTCATAAAAAATTTCAAACGGATAGTGTTTACATCACACATATCATATCAATGTTATATACTGAGTAGATAATCTTATATGTATTATATTATACTACATTATATAGTACATATTAATTTGGTTCATTTGCTGAGGAATATGGCTGTTCTTCCTTTATCATCTATATTTATGTTTCCCTGTAAGGAACTGCAGATCAAATTCGCTTTATTTTCTAGGATATCTACTGCTGCCTTTGTCAGTTCCCCTCATAGACTATCAGAGACCAGCACTACTATTTCCACTGTCAGGCACACTACAATTTGAGAGTCTCCATACCCTTCTGCTCTTTAGGTTCTCTTCACAGTTCCCATCCTGGGAGATTTTAAACTATTCTACATTGATTCCCGAGTGCTTATCTTTCTGTTTCTTGATTTTCTTTTTTCCAGCAGCTTTCAAGAAAAGGCACATGGCCAGAGAATTTCTATTCTGCTTAATTTCCTCAAGAGAACAAAGCGATGGTCTCAAATGTTGTCTGTTTCTTGGGGCAAAGCACAGAGCAGTGGAGGACAGGCTCTGGACACAGGCTGCCTCTGTCCAAATCCTGGCCCCACTCTTCCCAGCTGTGTAGACTTGGGTAAGCTTCTCCACCCTTCTGTGCCTGAGATTTCTTATCTGTACAATGGGGATAATAATGGTCCTTACCTATGGTACGGTGAGGATTAACAGAGTTCATACACACAAAGCGCTGTAACAGTGCCCAGTGGGAAGTCAGCAATCAGTAAGCACAGGCCAGCGATGGTGAATCTTTTAGAGCACTCAATGACAAACAGCCTGCAGTGGCACCTGGGCCACAGGTTTGCCACCACTGGCACAAGATGTTGTGAGTATCTGCAAGTCTCATCTTCGTGTAGCAGGCCATGCCATGTTTCCTTCCTTCCTGACTTCCTTCCTTCCTTGTCTTCCTCACTCCTTCTTTGTTCGCATGTAGGTTTTTCTTTGCTTCAGTCACATGCTAGTGTGAGCTGGAAACTAAGGAATGAGCGCCATTCACTCTTGGCCTACCACCTGTCCCAAACAGTGCTTGACTGGGTCTTATTTTATTCTTCTACCTAGAAGACCGAGAGCATGTCCGTGGTCTGTAAGTCTTCTGCGGTCTTTCAGCTGCCCAGTGGGGAAGGACGTGGGGCTTTGGGTAGCTGCCATCAGGCCTTCCCTTCATTCTAATGAAACAAAGGCTTCCCTGAGTCTGGAGGTACTGTGTGTTCTGGCTTGCTGCTTTTTTCCTTGCCTGGTGGGAGTTTTCTTGGTTTAGCTGTAATAGTTTTTTTTAAGGAGAAGTTTCTTTCTTTCTTTCTTTTTTTTTTGGTACCGGGAATTGAACTCACGACCTTGCACTTGCTGGGCAGGCACTGTGCTGCTGAGCTATATCCCTGGCTGTAATAGTTATTATTAGCAGATGCTTCCCCCATTTCTTGCCCATTTATTTTAAGGAAATACGGCCAACGCTGCAACCTTTTCTTGCGTGGGGGAGCAATCTTGAAGAAAGCATCCCCAGCTAAGCAGTGGGGATTCCTAGCCTTTCCCCTGGTCAGCCACTCTGTTCTTCATGTCAACACTTTTACAGCAGTGGGATTTTTCAGAATTCCCTCCTTGTACCTCCATGCTCCATTTTTCCTTTTGAAGAACATACTGATTTTTCAGCACCTTTTCTTCAATTTCGCCCAATTTTTCATTTTCTGGATGATACTTCTTCAAGTTTATGGCATGTAGGCATCCTTCCCCCCCCCCCACCGCTGGTACCAGAAATCGAACTCAGGACCTCGTGCTTGCCAGGCAGGTGCTGTGCCACTGAGCTAAATCCCCAGCCCCTATATCCTTTTTTGACTCTGGGGTTGATGTCATATTCACTGTTGTTTTTACACTTGATATTTGTTCATCTCACACAATTTGGCAGGAAATGAAATGAATACTCTGTACCTATAGTTGTATCAGCAATCTTATCAGATCTCGCTCAGGCTTTAGTTTTTAACATCAGAGAATAAGTAGCCCTGAAAAACTACAGAAGAAAATTATTCTATGGAGAAAATAGTCGTGTGTCTTCCCTTATCTAAGCATATGTGGTTGAAATAGTTTATGTTCCTATAAAATTTTGTGTATCTGCATGGGGGAAAAGTTGCTGTTGATTTTTCCACCAAGCATTCTCAGAATGGAGCTTTAGGTGTAAGATGGATTTTCCCATTTTCCTTCTTTGTTTACAGCTGTTTAAATGGTTGGTTTTTGTGAGAGCCACACCAAGTTTTCTCTGCTTGACTTAACTCCATAAAGGACTCTGCCTGATGACAAAGCTTCAGAAAGCAGAAAATTAAATGCTATGTTCCATAAACAAATGCTTAATACTCATTTTCACATGCCTGACCAGTTCAACAGACAACAAGGGAGCCGAAGGGACTCCTAGCTGAGGCTGGGTTAACACTCCAAGTGAACCAGCCAGACGCTGCTGGAGGACACAGCCTGGTGATGTCAGGCGGAGAAGAAGAGAGCGGGGTGGCAGGAGAGGGCAGCAGCCACTTAAAAAAAGAGGGCAAGAGACCATCTTAGTCACCTTCCCATTCCTGGGACAAAATGCACAACTTAGGGAAGGAAAGATTCATTTTAGCTCACAGTTTTAG